TTAAATGAGTTATAAAGTCTTAAATGACCGTAAAGAGTTGGGAGAAAATCGGATGTGTGTCAGATCCGTGTCATATGTATCAGGTTTTAAAGAGACAGAGCTGATTTTAAAGTGAAACCTGCTGAAGTCTGTCATTGATGTAAATCAAAGAACAAAAGAAAAAGACAAATCCTTGGACTGTCCTACTCGCTGATTAACTTTTGTAGCTTGAATAAAAATTAATATGTATAGTTTATGCATATATAATATAGTTGATATGAAGATTGTTTTAAAATCACTTAAATTAAAAATTGTTATATATTTCAGAGCCTATTAAATGTTAAAAATAATGGCTTTCAAGTATACTGTAATGTTGAATGACTATAATTAATAGGGAAAATGCACCAGCAGGACAAAAACATTGTAAATATGTTTAGTTATTGTAGTAGTAATAACTGCCTGTTTTTGCAAAAAGAGTTTCATGGCCGGTAAAAAAAAATATTTGGCCGGTAAATTTTATCATGTCACCGGCCATTGGCAGGTGTGGCAAAAAGTTAGTTTTAGGCCCTGCTTACATGCTTGAAGATGCTTTAACAAGACGCTTCCACAGCGTTCCAGATCTCTGATCTTCATTTATTGTTATGTTGCAGGGTGAGTGGAAACCCAAACAGATGGACAACCCCAACTACAAGGGTGTCTGGGTGCATCCTGAAGTCGACAACCCTGAATACACTCCTGATGCCGAGATCTACAAATTCGACAGCATTGGAGTCATTGGGCTGGATCTCTGGCAGGTCAAATGCCTTAGTCTTGCCATAAAATGTCCTTTCATTTTTTTTAACTATGATAGTTTTTGTTGTAAAAATCCTATTAACAATATAAGTTGAAAAAAATTATTAATTGAATTTACTTAATTTTTTAAGGTAAGTGGTTGCAATCAATTTATTTTAGCTACATTTAAATAAACAAAATTAGTTGACTAACTTTTAGCATGCTTTTTTTTTTTTTTTTAAATGTAGCTAAAATAAATTGTTTGCAACCACTTACCTTACATTTTTTTTATATAATTTGTTTCAGTGCAGGAAGCAGTATAAAAATGTCAAAAATAATGAAATTCAGCAATGCATGTGGTAGTATTCATGGCATGCATTCGCTCTGTCATGATTTACTAAATATTTACAGTATATTCACAGTGTTGTGAATATTGCGTTGATCGTAATGTGCTTTTTATTAGGCCAGTTCATTTTTATTGAATTTTAATTCTTGCTTTAAACATCAGTCTATTTTTCTGCAATGATTTGATTGAAATGATGGTT